ATCCTAGGCCAATAAGTGGGTGAATCTCTACACTCCACATGTCATAAGATTAGGCTTCCAAGTAACTCCATCCCAATGCCAACAAGTGGCTCCATGAGAGTGTGACACTTGTCACACTTTTCCAAAAATTATAAAAAGGTCATTTTCCAAAGTATCTTCCAAATTAAATTGCAAAAAGATCCCTAAGATGAAAAATAATTACTTTATTTAATTACACTAAAACCCCAAAAATCAAGAATATTTCCGAAGAAACTATGCATCCATGCCCTTTACGAAAAAGTAAGCAATTAGCATGCTTTTGTACGAAAGTAAAAATACAAATATTTTGGAAATTAAATATTATGGATGCATGCAAAGTTGGAATCGAATCTGAGCACAAAAAATGAGATTATGTAAAGGAAAACGATAAATGAAAAAAAGACGAAATAGGAAAAAGACGAATAAAAAAAAAATTACGGAAAAAAAGAAAGGAAGGAAAATGGCCGGGTTATTACATTTAATATTTTCAATTAATCTTTCAATTCTATTCATATGTCTATGTGTGATGGAATGGATGATTATGAGCTCACACTTGATTCTTTACATTTGGTGCATATCTATGTGTATTAAAATAATGAATCTAGTATTGGTCAATGCATGCATGGTGCTTAATTGATGACTCTTGTATTTTATTTGAAGGGCTATACTTATTTCTTGATGGGTTGTACTACCTCATTAGTTTAATTAGTTTAATTTCCTTGTCATTAGTGTAGTAGTAGTATAATTCTTAGATAAGTAGACAATCAATTCTTGTTGTTTGATAGTCCATGCTTATAAGTGCAAGTAGTATATTTCTCTAGATTTTTGTGTTTGTATTGATTGTGGGTTTATTGAATGATTAATGGCTTAATTTGATAAGTTGTGCTACTCACTATATTGATTGGATAATTTATGTTTAATTTGTCATCTATGCTTAGTATTTCAATTAATGGCACACACACTTGTTTTACAGCATGAAATCCCCCTAATTTAACAAATACTAAATGTTTAGTGAAGTAAAGCCTAGTGGTGAACTCTATGTCCCAAGAATCCTCTCTCATTCTCTACACCTCATTTACTTTAGCTTGTTTTACATTGCATTGTTTTTAATTAATCATAGCATAATTCAACCAACAAACCACTCTCTTTGATCATTCGACCTACTAATCCAATTTTGATTCCTTAGTTCTTGCAAATCCCTTGGGACGATCCCTTTTCACTCATACTACATAATATAGTGTTAAGTGGTTTTTATAAATTCTAAATGTGGTGGCCACTTCTCACACTGACACTTTTTACATCATTTTGAGGCTACGGTCCAATCCACACCAATTTGCAACAAAGATAAGTTTATTATGTTTTGCCTCTTTTATTGCCTTTGATGGTTGTGGGGTGGAGGTTTGAAGATGATGATGGGAGGTTTGAGTTGTGTACTTATTTTGGTAGGTTGTGCATCCAATGGTGGGTGGTGGTTGTGGGGGTAGAAAGAGAGAGGGGGGCGGAGGTTGGAGGATTGTGTGTGGAGGGATGTTAAATATGGGTGGGTAAAAAATGTGGTGGTAGATGAGGCGGTGATGCAAGGATGGGGCTACCATTTTGGGGTGGAGAGTAAGGTTTGGTAGGTGTTGGACCAAGAAGGGGGTGTTGAATTGGTCCAAGGTAATTTCTTCCTTTTTTACTTGAGTACAAACATACATAACATAGAAGATAAAAACCAATGCAATTAAACAAAACACATTGCCTCCACTAGTTGTATGAATCTTGTTACACACTCAGCTATCTCACTACTACACACACCCTTGTACAAGAATAGATACTAGTTTTCACAACCAATCCACACACACTAGCTCACCATCTTCACTTGCTGCATGCAAGTAGTTACTTACTTAGCTGCCCTATTTTCCAACCACCTTGTACTCACTAGGACACTGACTTTCACAGCCTCTACACACATACAAGATCAACAATGTGCACACAGGCACTCCCCAAGTCCACAGCCCCTTTACTTGGACACTTATAACTCTTAATAGCTTAATCAACAATGTAATAAAGGTGTCAACACACCAGGTACAATATATGTAAGCTGCAACACAAGATAAGAATGAATACTCAGCTCTAAGTATCAAATGTAAGAAACCCTAGCTTCAATTCTCTGCAACAAGGTGGAAATAACTGTCAAAACACAATACAGCTTCACTTGATGATCAAACTAGTTTCCCACAGCCTCGAAATAGTCACATACACTTGCTTGAATAATAAACACAAGTAGATAAATAATGTAGAACAATAACAGCTCCCAAAAGGCTAAAACCCTAATACCAAAGGTAAACCTTTAACTTCACCATGCAGCTCCAAGAATACCTTGCAATGAACTTCAACAGCTCTGTATAGATAATATACACTTGCACAAATGTCTTCCTCAATAATCACAGCAAGGTAAAATAGATTTGATACTCAATAGAATAAAACCCTAAAACCAAGGGTAAACCTGTAACTTCACAATGTGGCTTCAGAATTGACCTGCACTTGTCACTCACAGTCTTGATATCTTTATTAAACTTTGCTCAACAATATTCACAATGATTGGAGCAAGGTATAACAATGTCACTTCACAAAGGCTTAAACCACAATCTCAAGGGTATAATGGTCTCTTTACAATGTAGCTTTTGTTTAGGCTTGTAAATTGCTTCCATAGTCTTGTATCACCAAATTACACTTGCTCAATTGATTAGAACAATTTAATTAGCAAGGTAACACAATATAATAACACAATAGCTTACTAGCTTTCAAGGGTGATTCTGCAATGTAGCTTTAATTAGGGCTCAAGCTTCACTCCCCCAGTCTTCAATATAAAATATACATTTGCTTAGATGTTTAGAACAAATTAATAAGCAAGGTATAACAATTTATATGTTCACAGCAGAACCTTCATGGTTTAAAAACTAAGTTTCAGTTTTAGCCAAACACCTTCTTAAGATAATTCAAAAACACTTCAACCAAAGGCTCCCACAGCATTAAATAGATGAATAACACTTGTTATATAGCTGAGACAAGTTATATACTCAAGGATTCAACTCTGCATCTCAAACATCAACAAACTAGTAGCTCACAAAAGGTGTATTTTCAGCACCTGCAACTTTCTGTTTTAAGGGGTAATTCTGTAAATCCGTGAATGGCCCTCCTAGATTTCAGTTCTCACAACATTCAATCAACATATAAAGCATGCTCCAATTGCCATTTTCCATTTTACTGCAGGTAAATACCAAATCACAGATCAAATTAAGCTTAATAACAGTTTTCTGTTGCAGCACTGATTTCAGGGACAGAAATGGAATTTCACAATTACATGGTCTTGAATTCAACACCCTCAGTCATGTTTCAACTATATATTGATGCTCAGATAATTATCACAGCAGTGCTAGCATCCTTAAACAAGTTTTCTTCTCAGTTTATACACCTTTCAGCTGAAAACCCCTTAACAACACAGGTTTGACACTTCAAAAACCCTAAGGTCACTTTTCTATGGTTTAGTTTAGATTGAACAACTTTGATTCATGAACATAAGCATGCTTAGATGATTGACAGTCATAGCATAGCAAGAGTATAACATATAATAAGCTCAGTTGAGAAGTAAAAACCAGAAAATAGACTAAATTGGAGGTTTGAGATTTGAAATTCAATACCAGCCTCACTGTGTAGTTTTAGGCACCTTCAACAACTCTAAATCACCATTATATTGTTGCTCACACATTGTTCAGGCTCCAGTAGTGACCATAGCAATTTTGAACCACCTTAGCCTTTATTTGCACCAGAAAACAGCCTTTACAAAACCTCCATAAACCTCACAGCTTCTGTGCTTCTGTTGGTTGATTTCAGTGCTTCATTCAAGCTCAATTCATCAATTAAACTCACTGAAATATGTTCTTCATGTTAACCCTCGAGAGAACCTCACACAACTGCTATACTCAGTTTATATTTCATAAAAGAGGCACACACTGCTGAATGATATAACAGCCCTTTTATATGCTTCATTGAAAACCCTAGTGTGGATAAGAATTACTCACCATTAGCCAATAAATTCAGCATACAGCTCTCTCTCCGCAAGACCACTATGCCACGTGGCAGTGGTGTATTCTAAGCACATTCACAGCATACTTTGTACACAAGCCGTCCACAAATGCCCCTTGCTGAATGTAATAAAAAGATAACTTTCAGCATGAGTATAAAGGCTATTTTTGCAATGCACCTTCACCACAAGATTCCAAATTGTCTCAATAAATTGGAATGACTAAGATAACCTTGAGACAATGGACACAATTACTGAAATACCCCTATGTGGTATATAGGTCACACACATCAACAATTGACATATCAGCATATATATGTATATGTAACTTATGACAATATGGCCTGGGGTGCAATGTACTATTCCCAGCAAATGAGATAATGTCACACACACATGTAGAAAGACAGAAGTGCCCCTGTGACTGTGAGGAACAAAAACATGAGTGCTAAACCTCTAATAACCCTTGGCAGCCCTCTGAAATGGTCTTCTTGAGAATGTAGTATAATCTCACCAACCACATGGTAAGGTAAGGACTGTAATACTCTCTAATATATGATATTGAAAGTGCAAAACACCTGATCAAACATGAGATCAACAGTAAGAGTATTTTTGGAAGAGTAAAGGGGTAAAATATACATTATATTAATTGAGGAGTGTTTTCGCACAAATTGAAAAGAATATGGGTGTTTTATACATACCTTTTTAAATAAGGGATAAAAATGTTACAAAATGTATATTTGAGGAGTATTTTCTGCACTTACCCCAAATTAATAAGCACTCGTTATGAAAGGGAAGTAGAAGGGTGCAATAGAATTTCCCGCGTATCAAACATGGTCTGATTTAAAGTATCTTAAAACGTCATCGTGTTGAAGAAATGTACGAGTAGAGCGTAAGAACTACGACGACCTCTCTCAATTAATCCAATCAAATTCCGATCGTTTCAAGAAAAACGAAATTAACAGAACACACACAAAACAACTCTCTCTCCCCCCTCCTGCTCGCCACTCTCTCTCTCTCATTTCTGCTAATAAGCTAACAATGCAACAGGGTGATTATTACAGCTCCGTTTCTTACTACTACCCTCAAAATCCAAATCCAAATCCAATCGATCAACACAACCATCCGAACCCTTCGTCGGCGACTACGTACGCCTCTGCACCGCCTTTCACCACCAATTACTCTCCGTCCGATTACTCTGCTTATCCCTCTGCAATTACATATCCTCCCAACACTCCTTATCCTCAAAACCCCGATCTTCCTCTTCCTCCCTCTCCGACTGCTCCTTCATACGCCCCAACAAACCCTACTTTGCAATCTCTCAATCCATCTATCTCTGCGCCTTCTTCTTCCTATGATCCGCAGGGGCCTTACCAGCCACCACCACCACCACCACCACCACACCAACAACACTCTTCGTATTATCCACCCTACGATCCGCAACAGACTGCCCCCAATTACTCTTCAATTCCTACAAACCCTAACCCTAGCCCTACCACCAACTTGAATCCACCGTGTTCTGCGGTGTACCCTTCCCCTTACGGTCATATAGGCTCTTCGGTTCCACCGGTGCGTGCGAATTCATATGAGAGTAATGTCAAATTGGATCAGGGTTGGGGTTATTTTGATGAATCTTCGGGTGGGTATGCGGGCTATGGTCGAAGCAGCAGGTCCGATGTGGGATCAGATTTATACGGAAAGCGATCAGATAGTGGGACTTCTCGGTTTGATTCAAGTGCATATCGCGATGATGGGTTTGGTTACAGTGACGGCGTGTATGCCTATCAAGGGAGTAAGGTGGAGCCCTATGGTGCTCGGGGCACTGAACCCAAGTCGTCGACGTGGTCAGGGTTTGATGATTTTGGAAGGCCCATAAGTTTCCCTCCTCGAAAAGATCAAACGGGTTCCTCTCCTATCGTGAGGGCAATTCCAAAGGCTGATACCCAACAAGACGTGAAGGGTGGGGTGCAGAAGTATAGAGTTAAGCTGTTGCCAGATGGTGGAAGCCAGGGCACCACGGATGTGCTTTGCCAGGTTTACAGGAAAACCCTTCTTCTTAGTGTGTGCTCTGAAAAAGTTGGACATAATTTGATTATTTCATGCATCTACTTTATTAATTCGTTCCTCAATGTGGTTTTTGAGTTCGAAGGAATTGGTTATCGTCTTCATTCTTTATGTGTGCAAGACTTCCTCTCTTGTATGCTCTTATATATGTATATATATATAGATAGATAGATAGATAGGTATACATTATCTTGGTTTTCATTCTGTTGGTTGTGTTGGTTAGTTACATTGGGGTCTAACCAGGCAATATTGACAAACAAGTCTCATTATTAATGAAATCATGACCAAGAATCAATTAATCATGTAACACATACAGGAAAAATGATCATAATTATATAGAGTCGTTTTTATCATCATTGCTGATAGTGAATTCCCCCTAGCAATTTTTGTGATGTGACTTTTGTTCCTTTATTAGAGAATTGAAGGCTACGTTATTGGGCAGCTTTGGTCTAGGGCCTCTAGGCTTTGACCCAAAAGTCCACTTGTGGATTCATAGATTAAACTGGACAGGTTTCATTGCGGAAAGCCCCTCGCTACACGAGTCGTGTCGTGTCACCACATTCAGGTTGTGAGAATGATTTGAAGAATTTGGCCATGCAGCATTTCAACTGCTACTTCAGTCGCCTCTTCCATATCCCCACCTTCAACACTCTATCTCTTCATCCCTAAACTCAAAAATCCATTTCAACCACCCATTTCATTCCCACATCCAAATCGCACGAAAGAAAGCCACCCTAATCATCCATCAATGGCGACAAAAACAACCCAAATAATCCATCAAGTGCGTAGATTGCGATATATATATATTGCATGTGAGGTTTGGCAGACAGGTAGTATTTATGGGAAGGTAGGGGATAATCAATTTGTGGAAGAGTTGGTTTTGGTGATGAATAAGGAGAAAGTATAGAGAGATAGAGAGCAACAAGAGAAAACAAAGAGATTGAGAGAGAGTATGTGCAAATATATGGTAAGGGGCACCTTTTTTTTTTAAAAGAGAAAATGGTATTTTAGGATTTTTGTGTCTTAAATAACACGTGCTCCTCATGTGATTCACTAACGGTCAAATTACAATGGCTGGTTGGCTGCAGGTCCTTCTCTGCAATAATTTGAAATATTGTAAGGACTTGTATACACAAAACGTAGTACTGCCATACTGGAGTGTTATATGCACAATATGAATATGACGAGGGTGCTTTTGTACTTTTCCCTATAGATCAATTCCTGGGTAGTGGGACATTGTCCAACAATGAAACGTCACGAGACCATTATTGGTATCAAATTAATAACAACTCAGACAAGTTAAATTTTCTAATCAGTAATTGGGTTAAAGACATTGCATACTAATTTTAGATATATTAATCGAACAGTTTAAGTACAAAAAGCGAAAAAGGGAGCCTAGTTTGGTACGGGAATGGTATGGTCATTCTCATTGTATTGTTTGGTTGCAAATATGAAATGATGTAGGAATGAAATGATAAATCAGGTGGTGGTGGAAGCCGACGGCGTTGGAAGTGGTGGAAGGCGGTAGTGATGGTGGAAAATGGTGGTGGCGGAAGGCGGTGACGGTGACGGTGACGGCGGCGGCGGCGGATGGTGGTGGCAGCGGTGGCAGAAGGTAGCGTTGGCGGCGGTGGTGGCAACGAAGGCGTTGGCGGCGGTGGTGGCGGTGGAAGGCAGTTGCGGCGGTGATTGTGGCAGAAGGCGGTGGCGGTGGCGGTGGCCAAGAATTTCATTCCATCAGTTTGGATGTGAAATGGATTTTCATTCCGTGGATTATCATTCCAAGGGAACGATTATTCCCATTTTAAATGTCATACCAAACAAGAGAATTGTTGGGCATTCATTCTTACGTACCAAATTAGGTGTAAATGGAAAGAATTAAAGGGTAGTAAAACGACCAAGTTGAAAGAACAATTATTAAAGGAAAGAACTCGTGGCTCAAAATGGGATTGGCATAATGATATAGATAACTCGTGGCTCAAAATGGCTACTACTAGTATTAAGGCGAAATTTTTTTTGGGGGTGAAACTAAAGGTGAGAAGTTCATTAAGAAAGAGAGATGGTGGTGGAGTGAGGAAGTGCAACAAATAATTAGAGAAAAAGCTTTAAAGCGTGACAAAAAAGTAAGCTACAAGAAGACTTAGACAAATATAATAAATGTGATGTTGTGGCCTGAATTTGGTGTTTATGACCCGGAGGAAAATTTTTGAACCGTTTTTTGCTCATGGGTCATGGACCCTAATTGGTCTCTTGTAGCCCGATATATAAGGGCGCTTAGGGTTAGGAGTGGTGTAAGAGTGAGACTCTGAAATTTGTACAGAAACAGAGTGAGGGGCTGAAAACTTGTAATTTCTGATTTTACACATAGTGAAGACTTTCGTTGGATCTCAATCGTGGACGTAAGCTATTGCCGAACCACGTATAAATCTTTGTGTTCTTTGTGTGGTGTGTTTACCTTTCTGTCGTGATTCTTGGTTTTATCTTGGGTTTGTTGCGTTCGTCTTAACAATAAGTTCAAATTTGAAGTAAAGAATATAGTAAGCAAAGCTAAACTTAGTTTACCTAACGTTGTATATAAAAAACTAGGCACAAAAGAAGGCGAAAAACATATTTATAAATTAGCAAAGAATCGGGATAGATCAGCTAAAGACCTAAATTAGATTAGATGTATTAAGGATATAGTCTTAGTCAAAGAAAGGGATATATTAAATAGATGGAAGAATTATTTTTAAAATCTATTAAATGAGAGTCTTGAAGGTAGTGACGGATCTCATCTTATGTCGGAAGAGAAATGGAATGAGATTCTCAGTAAAGGAAAAGAGGGGGTTCTCGAAATTCAGCAGTGGCTGAAGGATCGCGAAATTTAGTAAGCAGTGAAGTTCATAGGAGGTTGACGACGAAGTGATCTTCACGCACCGGCCAAACGCGTCGTCGATGAGCAGAGAAGGAGTACACGTGGAGATCGACGAGGTGCTCCTTCAGATTCGGTCTTATCTCTTGATGATAAGGTAGGGGAGGATTTGTCTTTTTGGGCTGAGGATGACGGTGTGATGGGCCAGAAGATGCCAAGACAGGCCAGGAGGACTGGGCCTGGTCTTAATCTTGGGCTCACTCAGCCTAAACCCAACAGAGTGAATTTTGGTTCTGGGCCATTTCGACGGGTACATAAAGGGCCGCTTAGATTCGGGCCAAGTGGGCGGATGCAGGTTGGGCCTATTAGATCTGGGCCTAATAGAAGGGTGCGAAAAGGGCCAAACTCTTTATTTATCTTTTTCCCAAACACCAAACCTGGCCCTAAGCCTTTTAAAGAAGTACAAGCCTATGCTAAGCCTTCGACTCATTTGCTGAAACCCGAGCGGAGGATGATGGATGTCGGTCGCCATGGATCTCGGTGGACTCGAACTGAAAAACAGAAATGGGTTGCAGGATCTCACACTTCTTTTCCAGGTTTGAGCTCTGATGATTCTCAAAATGCTCTCTCTACTTCTACTTCTTCTTCTTTAGGTGGAGTGGTAAGTAATAGGGATGTTGTGGAGGATGTTTCGAATCAACAGAGGAGTCTTATTGGGTCTTCAGGTTCACGGTGTGATGGGTTCGAGTTGGATGTCTCAAAAGTCATAACTGGGAGTGTGGGTATTTTCAATGGAGTGATAGTTTGCATTGGGAAAGATCTGCATTTCAAATTGAATAATGACTCAGCTGTAGCTCTGCTTAAAGAGCTTCGGCTCTTTGTTGCGGTTGAAGGTTTGAATAGTCAATCATCTGAGAATGAGGTGATTTTGTCAACTGAACATGATGCTTTGGAAACGGAGGGGAATATGCAGTTAGGAGTGGTTGATGCTCCTACTCAGCAGCACTGTTCTAAAGATTCTTTTTCCGGGACGGATTTTGATCAATCTGAAGTGGGTTTAATGGAACCTCTAGCAGTTGTGCGGCCAGATTGTTTGGAGACGACCAGTGATCTGGGTATGGAATGGGTTATTGAGAATATTGAAGCAGTAAGTGAAGCTTTGGGTGTCTCTGCAGAAGGTTATGAGGAACAAACCTTGTCTATTCTTCACGAAATTGTTGTAGGAAATGGTAGTACTGAACATAATTGTGGCACAAAAGAAGTCAAAGTCAGAAATTCACATCGGAAAGGCAAATAGGAAGTGAAGAACCTGATTTCTTGTGTTAATTATGACGGGAAGAATGGGACGACCAAAGAAAGGGGAAGAACCAGAAGTGGTAAACGGGGAGGAGGAGAATTGATCGTTTTTGGTTCTACATGAAGCTACGACTTATAACATGGAATGTTCGTGGTCTAAATGATCTAAAAAGAAGAAGAGTTGTCAAGGTAGCTTTGAGGAAGTGGATTGCTCATGTCGTTTGTTTACAGGAAACTAAGATGGCTACTATCACCGTTGAGATTGTCAGGAGTCTGTGGGGAGGTAGGTTTGTGGAATGGGAAGTGTTGAACGCAACAGGCACTTTAGGTGGTATTCTTCTCATGTGGGATCGAAGGTGGTTGTTAAGTTTGAATTGTTGGAAGGGTATTTTCTCTGTGTCTTGTTTGTTTCAGATGGAGGAAGACAATTTCAGGTGGGTGTTTTCAAGTGTTTATGGGCCTGTTACTGATAGCGATAGACCAGTCCTATGGGAAGAGCTTTTCTATGTTAAGGATTTATGGTCATTGCCTTGGTGTTTAGGTGGGGATTTTAATTCGGTTAGGTCCTAATTTGAGAGGTCCATAGGGGGTAGGTGGTCTTCAGAAATGACCATGTTTTCATAATTCATTGATAGTAATTTCCTCATTGACCTACCATTGGAAGGAGCGGCCTTTACTTGGTCTAATGGTAGGGAACCAGTTACTTTTTCCCGGTTAGATAGATTTCTGATTTCTGGGGCGTGGGAAGAGCATTTCCCGGATGTCTCTTAGGCTGTGTTGGTTGGAGTCACATCTGATCATGTGCCTTTAGTTCTTGATTGTGGTGGTTTGAGTTCTAGACGCACTCCTTTCCGCTTTGAAAACAATGTGGCTTAGATCTGAGGACTTTCAAGGGAAGGTTCAGTCTTGGTGAGAGGAAGCGAATTTCACTGGCTCTGCCAGTTATGTGGTAGCTAGAAAGTTTCAGTTTCTTAACATTGAGTTAAAGAGGTGGAATAAAGAAGTGTTTGAGAATCTTGAATGGAAGAAGAATAGAGTTCTTGCTGATATTGCTGAGCTCGATCGTCTTGATGAGGTGGGACAGAATGGGGAATCATTACGCTCTAAAAGAGCCTCTTGCCAAGCGGCTTTTGTTGAGATTGCTCTTATGGAGGAGATTTCGTGGTGCCAGAAGTCTCGGGCTTTGTGGTTAAAAGATGGGGATAGTAATACAAAATTTTTTCGTAGACTTGCCAATGCCCACAGAAGATGTAATCACATCGGGCGTAGTCAATGGTTCTGAATTGTGGAGGGAGGACGAGGTGCGCGGGGGAATCGTTTCTTTTTATCAGCAGCTTTACACTGAGACTTTGGATTGGAGACCTACTCTTGATGGTCTTCTTTTTAATTCTATTTCTGCGTTGGATAGTGATAGGATTGAGATTCCATTCACGGAGGAGGAAGTACTTAAGGCACTTTCTAGTTGTAACGGGGACAAAGCTCCAGGGCCAGATGGGTTTACTATACGGTTTCTTAAGGAGAGTTGGGAGGTGGTGCGAGTTGAGGTGATAGGCACCTTTCAGGATTTTTATTCTCATGGCTTATTTGAGAAATCTCTAAACGCATCTTTTATTGCTCTCATTCCCAAAAAGGGCGGTGTCTCTGATATTAAGGACTTTCGGCCAATTAGCTTAATTGGATGTTTGTATAAGCTTATTGCCAAGGTTCTTGTCTCCGGGATGAGTAATGTTTTGGATGGTCTCATTTCAGAATCACCGAGTGCTTTTGTTGGTGGGAGGCAGATTTTGGATTCTGTTCTTATTGTAGGGGAATGCGTTGACTCTAGATTAAAAAGTGGGGTTCCTGGCGTTTTGTGTAAGCTTGATATTGAGAAAGCTTATGATCATGTTAATTGGAAGTTTGTTCTGTATCTTCTTCGGAGGATGGGGTTTGGTGATAGGTGGATTAAATGGATTGAAGCTTGTATCTCATCAGTTATGTTTTCTTTGCTTGTGAATGGTTCACCTGCGGGTTTTTTTGCGAGCTCGCGTGGTCTGCAACAAGGAGACCCATTATCGTCTTTTCTTTTCTTTATTGTCATGGAAGGTCTGAGCAGATTAATGAGAAAAACGGAAGATTTGGGTTACATCAGGGGGTTCAGAGTTGGTAGAGATGTTGAACGTCAGATGCAGATCTCCCATTTGTTGTTCGCGGATGATACTTTGGTATTTTGTGATGCTGAAGTTTCTCAATTCAGATATTTGAGGTGCATTCTTGTTTGCTTCCAAGCGGTTTCTGGGTTAAAGATTAATGTCGGAAAGAGTGTGCTTGTCCCAGTGGGGGATGTTTCAGATATTTCCTCCTTAGCTGCTGTCCTATGGTGTGGAGTTGGTGCTTTTCCTCTTCCTTACTTAGGATTGCCTTTGGGAGTTTCTTCTACACGAATTGGGAATTGGGATCCAGTGATTAATAGATATGAGAAAAGATTAGCAGGATGGAAAAAGCAGTATCTATCTAGGGGGGGGGGGGGGGGGGGAGGAGTCACATTCATTAAGAGTACTCTCTCATCCCTTCCTACCTATATTTTATCTTTGTTTCAAATTCCATGCTCTGTTGTTGAAAGGATTGAAAAAATTTAGAGGGATTTCTCTAGGGTGGAAGGGGAGAGCAGTTTAAGTATCATCTTGTTAAATGGGATCAAGTCTGCCAACCGTTGAGGTTTAGCGGGTTAGGCATTCGAAAAATCGTTCCTTGTAATCGTGCTCTCTTGGGAAAGTGGTTATGGAGATTTGAAAGGGAACGCCATCGTTAGTGGAGAAGAGTTGTCTCGTGTCGTTTTGGTGAGGAGAGTGGGGGCTGGTCATCTCTTCCAGTCACTATTACGGGAGGCATTGGTGTGTGGAAATTCATTCGGAAGGGCTGGGATGTTTTCTCCACACACATTAGATTCAAAGTTCGTGATGGCAGACATGTCCGTTTTTGGGAGGACCTTTGGTGCGGAGATCAGTTGCTGTCTCACTCCTTTCCTAGAATTTACAGTATTGCAGCCAATAAACATGTTTACGTGATTGATTGTTATCAACTTGATAACAATGGAGTTACGTGGGATGTGCGGTTTAGGCGCCCCTTTCAGGATTGGGAAATGGAGGAAGCTTGTATTTTTTTGGATACGTTGTATAGGCAGAAGGATATTGGCAGAGGGTGTGATGATATTTTGTGGGTTCCTTTAGCTCATGGTAGCTTTGGTGTCCGATCCATGTTCTTGTGTTTGTCCAATTTCATTGGTCACGAGTTCCCTTGGAAGTCCATTTGGCGTTCTAAAGCTCCTCTTCAAATCGCATTCTTCGTTTGGACTGCCACATTGGGAAAGATTTTGACATTGGACAGAAAGAGAGGCAACATCGTTGTTAATTGGTGTTGTTTATATAAAGCTGATAGTGAATTCGTGGATCATGTTTTTTTGCATTGTCCTGTGGCGTATGATTGTTGGAGCTTTATTTTTTGCATGTTTGGCGTTTTTTGGGTAATGCCTAAGCACTCCTCACAATTGATTAACGCTTGGAGAAGGTGTCCTATTAAAGAACAAGCTCGTGATTATTGGAGGATTGTTCCACATTGTGTTTGGTGGTGTTTGTGGCGTGAGAGAAATAACAGACCCTTTGAAGGAAAAGAATCGTCTCTAGTTAATTTAAAAATTCATATTCTTCGTTCTTTGTTCTGTTATGTAAGAGGAAATGCATGCTCCTCGATTGATGATTTCTTTGATCTCTTGGATTCTATTGGTCCTTAGATCTTTTTTCTCCTTGTATTAGGGACGCGCTCCCCTTTTGAACATTTTTCTAATATATTTTTATTTATAAAAATATATTAAAATAAAAAAAAAATCTATTAAATGAGGAATACCCTAAAAGAAGAATTAGAAGAAAATGAAGTTAAATTATTTTTATTTATTTATTTTTTTAGTGAAAATGAATTTAACTTGGGAATGATAAATTTAATCACCAACAAGGAGGTAGAGGATACACTTAAGAAGATGGGGAGCAATAAAGCAGTAGGCCCGGATAATATACCCATGGAGGCTTGGCGAATGTTAGGTAACGTAGGAATTGAGTGGCTAACAAAGTTCTTTAACAACCTCAAAAGAAATATTATTAATCACTTATAAAAATAAAAAAATAGTAATATTTATCAAAAAAAAAAAAAAACCAAAGTTGTTTAACAACATTCTAAAACAAGGCATCCGGTCAAATGAATGGAGGAAAAGTATGATGGTACCAATTTACAAAAATAAAGGGGACATACAAAATTGTGGCAACTAATGAGTCGTACAATGAAAATATAGGAAATGGTAATAGAACAAGGACCAAATAAGCTATATACTTCCTTGGATTAGTTGAAGAATGTAGGAGTAAGCAACAAAATTTGCATATGGCTTTTATAGACTTAGAAAAGTGTATGATAGGAGCCACAATGGGCCTGGGAATTTGAGACCCTTTAAAAGGCTGTAAACTTTATCTAACTAAATCGACTCTCAACATATTTGACATTGCTATAACTGTTGTAATACAATCTATAGTTTCTTTTTTCTCCATATCGTGTAGATGGAAGCTGTTAAAACCAGTTCCATTACTACAGTTGAATAGCCTTTGTCCCTAAGTTGGGCAGCATTCCATGGTGTGATGCAATCCACTGAGACAGCTATTATAAGGAGCATTTAGAGGCTAAAAATCTCCAAATTCTGAGGGTCAAGGACCATTTGGAGAAAATATGGGGAAGGTCTCATCTGTTTTATCTGCAAAAGGCATAACTAACATAACTGATAATGCCACTTCAATTGTTTGTCTTCTGTCATAACTGCGCAGGTTTTGTATTTATTTTTTATTTTTTAACATATATATACGTGTTTTGAAATAATAAATGCCCTTTTGAGGTGTAATTATTATTATTATTATTTCTCAAATGAGATGGTTTCATTCCACAAAAGATCAACATTCAGTATATTGGAGGAGATGAGGACATACCCTCATCTAACAGTCATTATTTTCATTTTGGTTAAAGTATATTTGTGCTTCTGTTTTAGCGCAGATGCTTCTTTATAAAAGGAACATTATTTGTTCTGAAGTTTTTAGCATTCTGGTTTGTCATCACCTTGTATCTTGGTACCAAATGTTCCTTAGTTCCATTTTCTCTTTATGTTTCATCTTTTTGTTTGTCTTTGAACTTGACATTTGATTGATCATCTCTCTTTCAGATTGGTTTGGACGGGATTCGTATGCTTGATCCCAGTACCAGTCGGACATTAAGAATATATCCACTTGAGACGCTAACAAGATGTGAAGTATGTTTCTTTTTTTTTCTTTTCCTTTTAAATCTTGGATTCAGTCTACCACTTCTAATTTCTTGCAGAGCCTCAATAACATATATTTTCATCTCATTTAGGTGACTGATTCTTCCACCTTCACGTTTTGGTCCAAAAGTTCTGTTGACATTGAACCAAGACGTATAAGACTCCAGTCAAATAGTTATACAACCAACACCATTCTGGACATAGTGACAGCTGCAACTGTACAGGTTTGGGACCATACTGATACTTTTTGTGAATGTTCTTTTTCTTGGGCTTAGATAGGTTATGGCATTGAAGCCCATGAAATGAATGGACTTTGTTGCCAAAAAGTGAGAGAATGGGTTGTGGCGAGGAATATTGCAAATAATAGAATACATGCCATTGACAGACGTTTTTCACTTTAAAGTGCATTATGATGAAGAATCTCAGTCTTTCTTCATTTTTTCATTTAATTAACTTTTATAAAAATATTTATCAAAAAAAAAAAAAACATTTTATACTTCCAGTAGATATTCTTTTTCACTTCTTTTAGCATAGATGCAGATTAAAGGTGTTTCATTTTTCAGCTGTTATTGTAATCATTGTGATTGCACCTTTTAAAATGTGCTTAGTTTGTTAGTTATGCATACCATATGATTTCAAAAAGTTTGATGCACAGTCACATACAAAAAGATGGAACAGGTTATGTATCTTGTTGCACATATTGATTATGAAGTATCATGGTGAAGAAGCTCAACAGAATTGTTTGAGTTGTTGATTCAGGTCGATTGTTTGAACTAGCTTTTATTCTCGATTACATAATATTCAAATAGCAATTTATCCATAATCTCAAAGAGAAACTTGCTAATCAAAAAACAAAAAACAAGAAAAAAAAGACATAATCTCGAAGAGAAATTAATGGTATGCATTCATTAACTTCTTTTACTTGTAGTCATGAAGTTTAATGGAAGGCTGGAGATGACATGAAGTAAAAAAAACTTTTCAATAGTTGTAGATCTAGCCTAAATGGAACTGAGCTGCCAATTAGCCAATTTTTTTTTTTGTGTAGGTGGTCTCCTCCACTTGTGGTTAGATGCAGTTTGAGGGGTAGTAGTATTGGGTAAATGGGGTTTGATTCTTTAATTTAGCATATTGAGGATAACTACATCTTGGTGGGCAAAAAAGTTATTAGAAAAATAAGATTTGGAGTTTATGACAGATGGAGATAACTTGGTGATATGTGGTCATTGGCTTGCTCAACTTAAACTCGGGAGGATAAGAGGAAGGCTGAAGAGGACAGCGAAGACACACTAGATCTGGGATGTGAAAAAAGCATTTAGCTTTTCAATAGTGCTAATGAGTGGCCAATTTCGTGCAAGGCTGGGGAGGATAGTGGAGGGTGGACCTCAAAGGAGGTGAGGTCATCAATCGGGTTGGGGTTTGGAAGCTCATTTGGAAGGGGTGAAATGAGTTCTCCAAAGTCCAAATGTGTTCGTTTCCGGGTAAGATGTGGTGGTATGTTTGTTCAGTTTTGGGTGGATCATTGGTGTGGAGATAGCTCCCTGGCTCGCACGTTTTCGCGTCTCTTCAGTATTGCTATGGACAGGCAGGTCTTGATTGTAGACTGTTATAAGCTTGATAGTGGGAGGACGACTTGGGGCATGCAGTTTGAGACAGATTTTCATGATTGGGACCTGGAAGAGGTCACAGATTTCCTGGCCTTGTTGTACAGAAAGTGAAGGGGGAGGGTCTAGATGAGATGACTTGGATGGACTCTTTGAAGGGGTTTTTTGAGGTTCACACATTCTATCAGAGCCTTCTGGAGGTTACCTTCCCATATATATATATTTTTGATAAGTAAGGTTACCTTCCCATATTTGGGGAATGGGGAGTATACCTGCTTAGGCTACAAGCAAAATGTGAATCTTGACACACAAAAATGGCAGCCTACGTGGCAGCCACTTTGGAATCCATGTGGACAAATGAAAGAGAGACAAGTGGCCCAAATTAATGTCCAATAATACGGTGACACATGGCATTTGCTGAAGGTAACTGAAAGCCCAGCACTTGTGTTGTGCGTCAGATGACAAGTGTGCAATATTTCAGCTGACACTTGGAATAATACAGAAGCCCACATGCGGCAGAATTGTATAGTACCAGCTTGCTATATAATTCAGGCACAAAAAATATGTATAATCAGCCATAAAGTGGGCTAAACAAGTCCTAAATTCAAGGCTAATGTTTAACATAATGGATTGAATTAGTTTCTGCATTGAAGCACATGGGTCCTGGTTGACTTTGCAAACCAAGTGATCAGTTTTGGTAAGAAACCAAAGGAGCTCATTGATTGAGGATGGAGGTTGAAAAAGCATATTTCCAATTTTCAAAAGTAGTCGTTCCAAATTTATTTTGAAGGTTATTTTTGTTTCCCTTTCATCTTCACACCAAGCATTTTTATTTTCGTGTGATAGAAAGCTTGGCCTACGCTCAACGCTCTTAGTCTTGATTGACTGGCACAACCATTGGGGACATAACATGACGTTCTCTTTTAACATCGTTATGCCTTAATAGAATGGTGCAGACATAAGAAGTTTTGATAATAATGCCGAAATAGGACTCAAATTGAATTAAGTAAACTAAATTATAAAATAGAACAATGCACACAACTAAGAAATCTGAATGCAAATGAAATTAATTATGCTAGAAGTCATGCACTGGTGTGGGTATTTAGGTGTAAAAATAAAGTGGAAACAATGAAAAGAAATTTTTATTTTTTATTTTTAAATGTGCGACTGAGGCAATTCAAAGGGGTTCAAAATTTAGATGGGTTCAGTTAGGACCTTTTTGCAAATTTCTATACTAATCAAATGGATAAAAGTACTAATAACAATTTTTAATTGAAGTATATGTACCTTTTCCAAAGTCCAATGTAGATCCCAATTGAATGCTCCAAGTGTTGAAGATTATCCCAAAATAGCTGCTGGAACTGGTGTAGGAATTCTGTGTTCTGTTTTTTTTTTTTGTGTCAGTCTACTACTGAACAGGCTGAACTATTTTGATGTGGCTCTGAAATTTGGTCTCTTCTGAACTCGGCTAAGCTTGGGCCTGAAAACTCAATCTGCAACTTAAATGGGCTGGATTTGACTATTTTAAATTTGAGTTTGGTCAAATCTGGTTTATAAGGAAACAAAATATATCCTTTCCAAACCCAAATCTGAACTTTCCAAACCAGACGGGATAATCCAAAGTTGACTTTCCAAAATCAGTAGCGCTAAAATTTTGGTGACGATAAGGAATGCAAAGATTGCAATAACCCAAAGTTGACTTTCCAAAATCAGTCGCGCAGATTGCAATAATCCAAAGTTGATTTTCCAGAATTGAGAAGAGGATGCTGAAATTTCGGTGAACAATTGCAAAGATCTGGGCACACGTTGACAAATTAGTGTGAACGAAGATCGAGGAAGATGACAACTAGGGTTTGTGTGGTTTTGGTGATGGTGAAGCAGCGGTGCTTTGGTTCTGGATTTTGCAACAGAGGCAGTGGCTGTAAATTTTGTTAGGGTGTCGGTTTGTATTGGTGGCGGTTGGGGCTTAGGATCTTCAGATGGCCGAAAAGTGATAAATGGATTGGATTGCTAATTGATGCAGCGGCTGTGGTTTTCAGATGGATGAACTGTAGATTGGTTTGATTGCTGTGAACACTTTGAATCTTTTGCTCTGATACCAATTGATGCTGCAGCAGGTAGGGGGTAATTCGTCAGAATTCAAGTAGAATCAGAAAGAGATTGAGAGAGAGTGAAGAAGAGTAGAGGGAAGAGGAATCAGAAGAGAAGAAGAATTCAGAGGGAGAAGAAATCATGATAATCTCAAAATTCAATATCAATAATAATCATCAAAAGCTGCCCTTCACAATGTCTAAACCAACATATAAATAGGCATCGAAGAAAAACCCTAATCAACCTATTATCATAAATAAAACCCTAAATTGCTGAAATATCCCATAATAATAATAAATAAACAAAAATCCCTAATTCTATCTTTCTTTCCCACGTCTCCAATAGTAGGTGTGGGCCATGTGGTCTTCAAGCTCTCGGGTCAGACCCGGTTCTCCATCAGATGGCCTCATGATAAGTATGCGGTACTTGCTCATAAATACTCTCTGCCACACTAAGTGCAAAACAATTGAATCAGCATGTGAAAACCTATACTTCTGAGGTGGCTTAGCCTCCCTCCTCGGCCTGTCTACATCCACATTGTGATCCTGCAACTGTGCATCTTCCTTCTTAACCGGAAACTGCACCTGCTCATCATTCGACCCATCAGGAATATCCTTTAACTTTAACTAAACCTCTACATTCTCTGCTTGCTCATTTATACCTCGATCTCTTGCTGAATCAACTACCTCTTTATGTGGAGTAAGCATCGCAGACTTATGAAAGGTCACATCCATGCTAACAAGTAACTTCTTTCCCGAAGCATTTGGACTCCACAATCTGTATCCTTGGACACTGGGATCATAACCAAGAAATATAAATTTATTAGTCCTCAGTTCAAGCTTTCCCTCATTAATATGAGTATACATAGGACACCCAAATATTCTCAAATTGCTGTAACTAGCAGGCGAACTAGACCATATCTCCTCTAGAGTCTTGTAGCCAATAGTTTTCGATTGAGACCAGTTCACTAAGAAACAAGTTGTAGAAATAGCTTCAGTCCGGAACACTTTGCCTAACCTAGCTTTGGACAACATACACCGCGCTCTATCCAATAGTATTTTATTTGTTCGTTCTGCAACTTGCGAAATTTTTCTCATTGTGCAGTGTCTCACAATCCCGCGATCCTTGCAGAATTCATTTTTCGTCACAAAATTTCAAGCCATTATGCGCTTGACGTGCTTTCCAGTCTGCTTCTCAACCAAGGTCTTCCACTACTTCAACATGGCAAAAACCTTAATCTTGTACTTCAGAATATAAATAATTTTTTTTTGAAAAAAGACACCAATCAACGTCATTATATATCTACTACCACCATGTGAAGCAACCTAGGACAGGCCCCAAAGATTAGAATGGATATAATTAACTTCCACTTGCTCATATGGATTCCCGTATTGTACTTCACTTCTTGAAGACACAATGCTCACAAAAATATAGCTTCCCACTGCATTTGAACATGTGACTGTGTTACCCTGCAACAAATATAAACCATGTTGCTTCAGTCCCTCATCACCGCAAGAGCACTCTTTGAAAGCCGAGTGACTCCACCTCCAACCTTGTAATTGCACCCGATGGGATTCAGCATGCCCAGGGAAATCAAATTCTTCTTCAGTTTTGGCATATGCCTGACATGTTATCCTATGCTGTCATACCTCTTGATTTGAACTGTACCGATATCTACAACCTTACACGACACATTATTCCCCATTAGGACTTCCCTTCCATCAATGGAATGATAAGAGGTAAACAAGTCCCTGTTCGGACAAATGTGATACAAGCAACTTGAATCAAGAACCCACTCATCACCAGAGTCGCCAACAGAAATCGGGAGAACTTTACCACCATCTGAATCATTACCGTCTGCAACAATCACATCAGCGGCGGTTTCAGAGGATTTTCCCTTTCCTTGCTTATGCTCTAGACAGTGTTTCTTTAAGTGCCCTTCCTTGTGACAGGTGTAGCATCTCAGCACCTTCATTTTGTTCATCGACTTGGTATGACCTCTGCTGCCAGACCCTCCCTTTTGACTCGTTCTCCCTCTAACAACCAACCTCTCTATCCAACCTTCTGTGTTGCCCTCAAATGCCCTCCTCTGCAACTTCTTAGAATTCAAAGTTAACTTCACATTAGACAACACAGTTTTGCCATACATCATCGAATTCACCATGTTCTCATACGAGGGTGGTAGAGAACACAACAAAGTAATAGTCTGATCCTCTTCCTCAATCTTAACATCAATATTATGCAAGTCTATGATGATACTGCTTACCCATCAAGACGGTCTTTTAGAAATAAACTTTTTTGCAGCAAAGCCTTTTACCAATTTGTACAACAGCCTATCCGGCCAAGTCTCTCCCGAAACTTCTCGGAGAACTTCGTTACTCAAGCACAATATAATCACACTGTGTGCTTTCTCCATAACCTCATCTTTGTTTTTTAATCTTTTCTGGCAGTGTATCCTCCTTCCCCTTTAGCGCTTTGGATAACCCATCGTGAACCAACAGAGCCTTATACCAATTTGTTACAACAGTTTAAATTTGTTTATGCCGTTAAGTTTCTTGATTTCCAGAAGCTTGGTCACCATCCTAGCTTCGAACTGAAAGCTCTGATACCAGTGTGTTACAGCAAACACTGCGAACCAAAACACTATCAAGAATCATGATAGAAACACGCTAAACACAAAGAACACAGAGATTTACGTTGTTTGGCAAATCCTATGTCCACGGTGAAGATCCGACAAAAGATTTCACTATGCAAAAACAGGAGACTACAAGTTTCAGCCCCCAAACCCATGCTCTTGCCCTCACTCTCACTCTCTTTTTTGAAATTTTCATTGTTCTCACGTTATCCCATTCCAACCCTTAGACGCCTTTATATACTGGGCTACAGGAGAGTGCTAAAAAGGGTTTATGACATGCAAGAAGAAAGGGTCAAATTTTTTTTTTTTACTGGGGGCGCCCCACACAAAGCCCATTTTTCGGGTCGAAACCAGGTTGTAATGCAACTCGAGTCGAAACAAAATTCGGGCCATAACATTACACCTTCTGATTATGTGTCTCTTTCATATCAAGCATTTTATGTGGGTGTCCTACTATCTATATATTAAATTGACATTCTTTCATATCAATTACCAAGTTGGCTTCCACTCCTATGTATGTTGGCTTCTATGCATGTCATACACCAAATGTGTGTCCATCTTTCTAGTCTTATGTTGGCTTCTATGCATGTCATACATCAAGTGTGTGTGCACAGAGGGAAGGATGGGAAGCTTTTTCTGATGAGGTTTTCATCTTTTCATTCTGTTCCTTTTTTTCTTTTTCTGTTTTTTTCCCGGGTGATAGTGGCAAAGTTTTTGTTCATTTTTTAATTTTTTAATTTTTTTATTGGGTAAAGGCATGAAATTTTATTTTATTCTTTTCTCAATTGTGATGCAGCTTAAGGAGATGGGCGGAAGAAGCAAACCTTCTGATTCCTTAAAGACAACAGAACAACCTACAGAGAAGAAAAAGGGTATTGCAGATTGGATGAACTTGATGAAGCCTGGAAATGAGGAGAAAGATCATTGGGTATCATTACAGTTTTCTAGATATTTCTCATCTTCTTTGAAATAATAATTCATTGTCGTCTTTGTTGCTATAACCCCCATGCACCTTAAAAATTGGATTTATATGTTTCCTGCTCTCATGCTTATGCAAGAATACATACAAAAGAATTTTCTATGCTATGTTAGATTGTTGTCACTTTTGGAACAGTTCTTATACCAATCTAGTAGCAAACATAGTAGTTATTTTTTTCCCTTATACTTTTGGTGGGGAGGGCTGGGAGGGGGGATGCAATATTTGTTTTTTGATTGGAGTCTCCAAGGGTTTCTATATTGCATCATGATTCCAAGTACTACATAATTTGCTTAATTCTAAGTGCTATATATATATTTGGTCATGATTTTTAATTTATTGAACTTCTAGTTTCTTTATTGGCTTGGAGGCAAATATGTTTATAATTTTTTTATGATTTTGTTGCCCTTTTCTTTGGGTCTATGTTTGTTGTATGTGTTGCAAAATTTTATGTTTTGAGAGTCAAACATGTTGATTTTGGGTGCTGTGGATGGGAAACATGATTACGAAATATAGAAACATATTGTTGGAGATTTAAATTTGTATATTCACATATCAAAATCTGAGATCAGGGGTTTGAGAATAAGGATAATCACTTTGTGTAAATATTGTCAATTGTTAGGTCAATATTTCGTTTATCTCTTCCTTGCCTACTCTGGGACCAGCAATGGGTTATATATAAGCTCCTCTTAGGGGTGGGAGAAGCATATGTCGGAAGGAAGAAAACAGAATCTAGACAGATTACATGATAAATAACCATAAATTGCTGATGAAGTAAGGAGCATCTAAAACCTTTACGGCTAGGGGCTATTGGTTTGGTTTTTTTTTTGACTTTTTATTGCTTATTTTACATGATATTCATTATTATAGTCATTCCTGTTTTTATTTGTCTTTGGCTTTACACGCACTAGTAATCAACATGGAATTCAAAGTCTGAACCTTGCCTACCAAGGCATTTTGAGAGTCTGATATCATGCCATCGATAACTCTACCCAACCTCAATGTAGGGGTGGCAAAATGGGTCAGAAACCATCAACCCGCCCATATCCGTCCGCTTTTTAATGGTTTTGGATGAACCATATTTAAAATGGGTTGAGTAATTTTTAACCACTTAATTTAAGGGTCAAGATGGGTTGAATATGGTTAACCATATTCAACCCATATTTAACCCAGCATATAATAGACACACAACACACATCTATTCTATATTGCACTCAACTTATTTCTCACTCTAAAATTCACTCACTCACGATTAGGGCTGCAAGTTGGGCTGGCCCAACCCAGCCCAGTCCCAACCCAACCTCAACCCGAAAATGGGTTGGGTTGGGCCAGCCCGAACATTTTGGGTTGGTTTCATTGGTCATTTTTTTTATTTTTTTATTTTTTCCTCAAATATGCAAATTACATTTTCCTTTTCCATGTTTGTAAACATCAAAGTTTTTAAGAAAAATTTATTTTTAAAACATCAATATTTTGGGCAGGTCGGTCGGGTTTTACGGGTCAAATTTATTATTATTATTTTTTTCAAAGTCGGTCGGGTTTCACGGGACAATTTTTTTTTTTTTTTTTACAAATTATATTTTCCTTTTCCATGTTTGTAAACATCAAAATTTTTAAGAAAATTTATTTTTTAAATATCAATATTTTGGGCGGGTCGGTTGAGTTTCACGGTCAATTTTTTTTTTTTTTTTTTGCAAATATGCAAATTACATCTTCTTTTTCCATGTTTGTAGACATCAAAATTTTGAAGAAAATTTTATTTTTAAAACATCAATATTTCTTCTCTTGCCTTCACTTCTCTCTCTATAAAACGAGTCGATAAATATTGCTGAGTTTGAGATTGTTTTTTTTATTTGTTATTAAATAAAATTTTAAAACCTTCCGGAAAAAAAGTAATTAAAAATAATGATAATAATAATTAATGGGTCCACGGTTCATAACGGGTTGACCCTATATATTTTTGACCCTCCCATTTTCAACCCGTTCTGAACGGGTTGAATATGGGTTTTGATCCATGTTTGACCCACCCATTTTCAACCCAACCCAAACCGGGCCCAACCCGTCCATTTGCCACCCCTACATCAATGCAAGGACACTATAAGTTTGTAGATACTACCCACCAATGCAAGCTATGGGATTAGAGTCCTTGGCTTCAATAGGCTCACCCTTTTCGGGATAATTGCAATGAAGGAAGTGTTCCTACTCCCCTTAAAGTGACCATGCATAGTAATTTTTTTAGCTAATAAAATTTGTAAATGTTTGAGAGTTAATATGCTCCATAATTGTTAGGGAGGGCTTTGGAAGTTTGCATGCTATATTTTTCCATGAGTTGTTAGGGTTTTTTGCACTTTATTGTTCTTTTTAAGTACTCTTTAGTTCCATAGATATTATCTTTCCCATTTTGCATGTTTTACAATCTCAATAGTGAGTACATAGCGGAGAGCGGAGCCAGAGATGTTTGGAGGGCTATGTTTGTGGGGTGGGTTTGTGGCATGAGAGAAATTGGAAATCCTTCGATGGAGAGGAAACTCCTAGTTGGTCTCTTAAATACAATATACTGTCTACTTTAGATAGCTTGAAATTATAGTGGTTGCCTTTGGCGCCTTGCGTATTCTCTTGGGAGCGCTCCCCTCTTGAGCGCCTTTTATGAAATCTCAATCCAATCCTAAGTACTTTACCACCAATCCAAGATAGGTTCCCAATTTTGACAACCTTGATAAAGAGTAGTTTTTTCTTTGATTTACTAATTTGTCCCATTACCTCGTTTTCACCACGCTCTTTAATACCACACTTCGATTTGTTTTTTTATAAAAAAATTCGCTACATTTCTTGGCTTATGGTAATTGCTGGTGTTCTTCGGTTCTTCCTTTTATTTCTATATTCATTTGTGCTGGGTTTTGGAAGTGGAGGTTTTCCATCGTCTTTGTACTGCGAGAGGGTATGTCCTCACTTCCTTCTCTTGTTCTTTAATTCTTTCTTCTAATACAATTTTTATTTAAGAACAAAATTATATTTATTCGTATTTTTTTTGTTTTGAGAAGTTTACTTATCAAAAAAAAAAAAAAAAAAAAAAAAAAAAAAAAAAAAAGAAGAAGAAGAAAAGAAAAAAAAAGATTATGTTTGGGTAAATTACACAGACACCCTCTTAGGTTAGGTCATATCTCACCTAGATGAACATTTTGGTTTTAACTTTCACTCATATTTTGAAGACTTGATTCCACTTGGACCCCAAAAGTCACTTTTTAGTTGTGTCAGAGCACTTTTACATATAAAATGACAATAGTACCCTTTTGACTTTGTGGTGACTTTGTTTCAAATATGAAAAGACTTAACTACCCCAAGAGACCCATTATAAATGACCAAAATGTCCTCAAATTTAACCCTCTCTTTTTCTATCACTGAGCTATATATATATATATATATGGGATAACTGATAAATGGACGAAAAAAAGGGCAATAGAAACTGTCACATCATCAAAATTGTGGGCATTTATGTAATTTTAGAAACAATCCCTTCTCCCCACCTTCCTTCCTTCTCTCGATCACTAGTAAAACGCGTTAAGGGTTGGGAAATTTCGCAGGTTGATTCTGAAATCATGAAGTTAGGGAAGAAGATAGGGTTGATTGAGAAGCTAGGGTTAATCACTCGTGAATTGATTGAGAAGCTAGGGTTTTTGATGGGTCGAGAGGTAGTGGGTTTGAACTTGTGAGATCTGAAAATGGCGAATCACAAGCTTGATGCCGAGGGCTTTGATGTCGATGGCGAAAGAGGTGAATATTAGAATGGTTGCTGGGCATGCCGTTGGAGTACTTGTTGGTGAGTGCGATGCCGAGGGCTTCAATGTCGATGGTGAAAGAGGTGAAGTTCTTGGAGGCGATGAGCTCTATTCCACGGCCTCCTACGAAGAAGAGTTGTTACTTGCTATGGCAATAACCAGATAGGATTCTGGCGACCGCGAGTTGTTGAGTTGTTGCTTGTAGAGGTGGGTTTTGTTGTGTTGGTGGTCCAGTTGCGTGGATAGACGATGGCAGCAGACAGATGTCGACCATCACCAATGACTGCTTCTCTTCGACGACGGTCGTGATTGAGATGTCCCAAATATCACGTTGACATTTCGGATAGGGGAGGAAATATGCAATTCCCTGAGAGGGCTTGCCATTGGGCACGCTAGCAACGATGATGGTGACTTGGTCGGCGGTGGAAGGGGTTGTGGTCGCCACTGCAATTGCCGGCTAACAGTGCTCGATATATATATATATATATATATATATATATATATATATATATATAGGGGCCATTTTGTCATGTAAGATTACAGATACTTTGTATTAAAAATTTGAGGGTAAAAGGGTCAATTCACATGTGTCAGAGGTCAAAAAGTAAATTGGGGTGTAAGTGAAAATTAAAACCAAAATCTTCATCTAGGTGAAATATGACCTAACCTCAAGGGGTGTATGTGTAATTTACCCATTATGTTTTGAGTAAAACATATTTGTAATGCTTTATCAAGATCCCTGGTAGTAATTGTAATGCATACTATAATTACTATCACTAATCCAAAGTGGTGCAACCACCGATACCTCTATTACTATCTTGTACTAAAGCTATCAAACATTATCCTATTTAATTCTTTTTGGTAATAAGATGGAGTTTTAATTTAATATTGGGATCATGCTACAATCCACATCTCGAACCCTTAATCCCAGACAAATGCAATATTAGATCAATGCTAACTGCACCTCAATCCTAGAATTTTGCCTAAGCTTGCGTATGGTTGCCCCTAAATTGTAGTAATAAATGTATATGCCTTTTTCTTTTAAAATCTTACATGTCTTTTAGATGGCTATAATTCTATTACCTCCCATTTGTTCCCATTTTTAAATATATATATATATATATTTTAAATTTTTATTTCCAGCTACACATCCTCTAGTAACCATGACAGAGATAAGGATTTGCTTCTGTCATATGGTGCTGCTTTTGAAGTCCTGAAAATCAGTAAACTCACTGTTGTGAAGCTCAGTGTTGTCAAAGGCGCGGGCCTAGGCTCCAGGCTCATACATGCACAACACTTGCGCCCGCTGTGTGCCCAGGTGTGCCTTTGACAACACTTGTGCCTTTAATATGGAATATGAATATGTTTAACTAGTAATTTAATTTTTCAATTGTACGCCGCGTTTCACTCAGACGCTCACCTCGCCTTATGACTAGGCTCCAAAGGACCTCTAGCGCGCCTTGGGCCTTTAGTAGCACTGGTGAAGCTAACAGAAAGTGAATTAGTGGGCCACGTACTGCATGGCCGGTTTTAGTATGGGTAAATATAGTGTTTACTGTGATTTTCTGTGTATGGAGTTCGAAACGCTACACAAATTTTTTTATTTTACCAAGTGGCAACTAAATGACATTGCTGTGAGTTGAATCATACAATCATTTCCTTTTGAGATAAGGTTGGCCGAATTTTGCAGACGTCTGAAGTATACAAGGGAATTTCCCGAAATTATCTGGGGGGCTTTACAATATATATATATTGATATATTTGTTTATCTTGTTACATGGTTAATTGGGATGTTTTATGTAACTTCCTTGGAGTGATTCCCAGCGGTCTAACGAGCAGGATTCCCAGTAATAAATTAATTTCTAGGAAAATGGTTTCTTTAACTTATGATTGTAAAAAGCAAAAGATTTTTTGATATTGAACTCTGCTGGACTGTAGTGTTGTTTAATGTTATTGTTATATCACGGAGTGAGTGCTTCAAGTCACGAGGCTTTAACACTGTTCGGGTTACACGATCAACTATCTACATTGTAATGAATTTGAAGGAGTGATTGCTTGGGATAAACCACTCTTTCTCTTTGATGAATGAAAAAAGAGTGAGCAAGCGTAAAGAAGAAAGCGGAGGTATATGTAAACTTGGGCTTCCAAGCATGAGGATGGGGCTTCGAACCTGCAAGCACTAATCTTGTGCAAAATGATACTAAAATTTAGTTAGTATTTCTCTGCTCTACCCCTTTCAGCACTGTGCATAGGCAGAGCGGCACTTGGTAAATGGCCTTTTTAGTAATGAATTCTATGGAAACTTTCTAACTTCTTGTTTGTTTTCTTTGGTACTGATACTTCTTGCTAATTATTGAAGGTGAGCCTGTATCTGATTTGATTTGAGCAGTATTGTGCAAGCTTTCCTGATCTTCAAGTTTACTTGTCAAATTTTAACTGGGATAATAATTTTGATTGGAGTTTCTGGTTTGATGATATGTTTCCTCTTGCTTTCTTTAGGTTCCTGATGAAGCGGTTACCAAATGCACAGCTTGTGCAACAGACTTTAGCGCTTTTGTGCGTAAGGCACGTATTTTTCATGATTGATATAATAAATTTATTTTGATGCATGCGTGGAGTGGAAGACATTTGTATCTTTGGGTGAACCTTATGATTTTCCTCCATTTTCAGCATCATTGCAGGAATTGTGGAGATATTTTCTGTGACAAGTGTACCCATGGTAGAATTGCGCTTACAGCTGATGAGAATGCTCAGCCAGTTCGTGTTTGTGATCGATGCATGGTATGGAATAATAATTTGCTCTCCTTTCTTACTATAATTTTTCTTATCCATCTCCCAGTTATTTGGAGAATTTTTTATTCTTTGGTTTCATATAGATCCATAAATGATGGGTTATTTATTGGTTTGCCAAGTGTCATGGATTGTTTTACATTTGTTAGTGAAGCTTTGCTCGTTTTATATGCGGATGTGCAAATTTGAGTGCACATGATTGTTTACGGTCCGCTTAACTCACCCTATGTTTGTACCTCCCACACCAATCCTGACTTGAAAAAATTAAATTGACCATGTAATATTTGGTCGAGAAGATGATTGAAAGAACTTGATTACCAGGAGATGCAGAAAATAAATCTGAATCTGGTCCAATTGTTTGGCTCAGCACTAAAAGTTCAGTCATCCATTTTGTTGAATTGTTAGTTTTCTGCAACAGAAAAGAAGGGATAATGGGACAGACTCCTCCATAGCATTTCATGAAAATGTCCTGAAGACACTTGAGCTAGATCTTACTGTATCGTTTCTCTTTACAGGCAGAAGTTACTCAGAGGTTGAGTAATGCTAAGGAATCGGCCAGCAAATCAGCTATATTGCAAACTCACGAGGATCTTGCCAAGAAGCTTCAGGTGATTGATGATTTAAAATTTAATCTGTGGTGCTTTGTGTCATTTTGATTCCAGTGGTTCTCAACGGTCATTTTCTTTTCCATATTTTTAAATTCTTTGTTTTGCACTTTTGCTTAATATGCTAGTACTGTGGAGTGGGTTCCTTACTTTCCACATGCTGAGGAGCATTTCTAGATAACGATTTTAATAAAATCACTAGTTCTGGATACACTCTCCAGTTGATCTGTAAGAGCAATCGTACTGTATTGAACAAGTTAGCTACATTTAAGAAGATAGGTAGTTGATATTTCATTTGAGGATGCTTCAGCATTTATGTTGCCTCAAACCAAGGAACTACTTTGTCCCTTGCATTGATATAAGATTCCTGGTTTGTGCCTGTATTTTAGCTACCATTTAGTCAACCAATGTCATTTTTGTATCCACTAATACTACAGTAGTTGCTATTTTTCTGTTCTCCGTCTCTCAAAGTTTTCCAGTTTTTATACCTGTGCTGTCTATTTAACCAAGGATATGTCATGGTCAGCCTTGGTCTTCTCCTTGCTGCTTGGAACCATTGCAATGGGAGCTAATTGGAGGAGATAATGAATGTTTGAGTGAATGGGCAAGAGGGAGAGATGCAACCTAATGAGAGATATTTGCATTGGATTCTAGCTGTGAAATCTGAGGATCCCAACCCAAATCTCTAATCTGGCAAAAGTACGCATGGCTAAGACCTAGAGAGGGGCCGAATATGTCTTATGGATATTTATTTGCAACTAATTAAAAATTTGAATTTCTATTATTTTTTTATTAAAAATTCAGTTATCTAGTTGATCAAGTGTCTTCAGTTAAGCAGTTAGTTTTTTAAGTGTCTCATTTGCAATCACAGATTCACAAAAGCAGACAAACTTGTAAATAATATAGAGACAAAAGGTATTTATGAGAAAAATCTTAAACAGAAAAAACCATGGGATCTCATCCAACGATGAACACTGTAAGATATAGAAGTTTACAACTAAGTTCCCAGATTCCAACCGAACAATCACCTATACTCTTTCCTGACTCAGACTTACGCAGGATCTCCTCAATCCTTCCAGCAGCTCCTCACACAATCTGCTTCTCTATGTATGCCCAATCCTTCAGGATCAAGTCTTCCCCAGTTGATTTATTCTTTTGTTAGAATTGCTCCGATTGATGTGCCCCTTGCTCTGAATGTCTCACTCACATATAATCTTTGGGAAACCATAAATTTAAAAACAAAGCTCTCTCTCTATTCTCTAAGAATATTAATTCTCTATCAAGCTATCATTCGACACAGAGTGTTCAGGGTTCCATTGACCGAGTTTTCAGGGTTCCATTGACCGAGTTTGCAATCAAAGGTTTTCTGGACTACAATTAAATTTTTTTGAGAGCATATCTATTGATCAAGGTATTGATCGGCTATGCTGTTTTTATAAAAATACCCAATTTGAAAACTCATTTTAAGTCAGTATCAAAACTTCAGATTATAACCTAATTTAAAAAAACATGTTTAAAACATTGTTTTGAGCCTTATAAAGATCGAAACCACATTTGGTCTCTAAGATCTTATTTACCTTTAACAAAGATATGTGATTTAGTCTAAAGTAATTTGTGGCCTTTTTTTCTCTCATCTTCATCTCCTTCATCTTTTATGGTTGTAGACGAAGACTAATCACTTTTGACACACATTACAGCCTAAGAATCACGGACATGGGTACGATAGGATATGAACACGACGATACAAAAAATCTAAAAAAAAATAGGATACGGACACGGAAAGTATACATCACTGTATATATATGTGTGTGTGTGTGTGTATATATATATATATATTATCATACAAAAAATTATTTTTTTTCAATTTCTCAATAATACCATACACATTCCAGGGGATGTCTCCCCTTTTTCCTCTATTGTTTTATTTCTCCTCCTTCCTTTTCTTCTAGCTCTCTCTCATTGTTTTGACTTACATCTTGATATGAGAACAGATAATGTGAATATCCTTTTTTTTGGTAACGAAGAATTTACCCACTTCTTAGTCACTTTTTTAGCCATTCTTGGATGGTTTGCAAAGTACGGATATATGCAATTACCTGCAAACGACATGAATATCCTTGTGTTGTTGGGCTTTTAAGCATAATTATTGTATTTATATATTTCATCATTAGATTTTAAAATTCGAGTTGAGCCCCATGGTTTTAGAAAAATATTTACAAATTGATCTTGTTGTGTCCTGGTTGTGTCCTTGGTGTATCCGGACCATGTCTTTGCCGTATCTGTCTAAAAAATTAATCATTTTAAGATGTGGACACTTCAAGCTGTATCTGACATGTGTCCAGCCATATCTCCAGCATGTCCGACACCTTTGACGGAGTGTCCGTGCTTCCTAGATTACGACCCATGTATTGATTAGGAATTTTCCAACAAATGACTCATAATCATAACACAATCTTATAGTTTAGTTGGATACTCTTCTATGAACTAAGATCTTGTTTGGCAAAATTAGAGTTTTAGTATTGAAAAGGTTAATACTAATTTGGTACTCCTGAATACTTGAAGCAGCTGAATATGGAGAACTGATTTAAGGATTAATTTGTAGAGGTGCGTTGAAGTTTAAAACCACGTTTCACCAAGTATATTCAACATTCTGTCTAAGTGAAGTCTCTTTGGCTTAATACTGAGATCTTTGTATAAGTGATTTATCTTTTACATGATAACTAATTGTGAGTACTGAGCATACTTGGTAGAATAAGCACTCTAAATTTTGTACACTTAATTTAGATTTTGTTTGAATCCATGATTTTGGTTCTATGGTTGAGATTTTTATTTTTATTTTTAATTCCTTGAAGTAGTAAAATAGATTGATTTATGGCATGCACTCCAATTCTAATTCTCTGATAATGATTGTTTGTCACAGGAGGAGATGGAAAAAAATCGGAAGGCATCATCAGGTTAGTTAGTACTTAGTACTGCTGAAACTTGTATTTGGGTGTGCACGTGCACACATCTGGTTTTGGGATCCACATGTTGCATGTGGCACACCTTATGACCCTCTTATAGTAATGTATATGGTAATTTTAATTGTTTGACAACGTTTTAAAAGACTGGCCAGCGGATGGAATGATTTAATTCGAGTGTAACAAGTGGGGAATTTGAATTGATTTAGTGACATTAATAGACACAGCAGATATATTCTTGATATATATTTTAAACAATCATTAGACATTGGAATGAATTCCTCTGTGCCGACTTTTTGGTTTATACCATGGTTGGAGGGAAGGGAAAAAGAGAAGGAATGAAAGAGGAGTCTTTGGAAAGAGGAATATATATATTTTCTCCTTTTGTATGGTTGAATGGCCTTTAATTGTTTGGTAGGAGGGAAGGGAAAGGAAGAGGAAATTTCAATTTTAGTTCATCACTATATCACTCTGTGTATGAATTAATCGACAATTTTATTAGGGTAATTATTGAATGGAAACGGATTGGTGGATCTGGAGAATACTTCATTTATTCTCCCCACTTCCTCTTCATCTGTTTTCTACCAAACAATTTAAGCATGCCCCATCTTTACCCTCTACTATCTTCACCCCTTTCTTCCTTCTAATTAAGCATTAGTATTAATCTAGTTTGTTAATGTTTGAAGCTGTATGGTTGGGGTTAATATCACTTCATCTCGGTTGAGTATGTTCTTATCACCTGTACTTATTTGAATAATCTGTTATTAGACTCCAAGTCAGATGGATCTGGTAGGCGGATGAAAGAAGTTGCCTGTCCTATTTGCACGGTTCATTTGCAGGTTTGAGATCCTAGCATATTTACCATCCGCAATTTTGTTTTTTTTGGCTGCTTTATTTTCTAATCTCTTTTATTCTTCTTTTTGTTGTGTGCTGGAAATGATTGTAGGTTCAAGTTCCCAGCTCTGGTTCTGAGACCATAGAGTGTGGGGTTTGCCAACATCCATTCCTTGTAAGTGCCCACTGATGCACACAGACTATAATGATCGTTGAAGTCACCTTGTGTTCTCTTTTAAAACCTTGATATTCAAATTATGCACCGTGTGAGCGCTTTTTTAATAATAATTTGGGTATGTGATTTTCCCTGGTTGGTGTTATTCACTTATGTTGACCCTATCCCTATGTCAGCTGATTTTTCATTCTTTTACTGGCATATTTGTACATGAAAGTTGTGTTCTGTTTGAAGTGCTGTGTTGGGTGAAAAAACTGTATAAATATGATTAGTTCATTTATTATTTACATAATGGTGTGCAAGTTATTTTTCTGGAACTTATTTGTGGACCTTTTGCTCAAATAAATATTTATATATAATTTAATTTAGTTGTTTCGGCAAAATGGTACATACCAGTGGAGTAATTCTTTTAGTTTTGGTGTTCAAGTTGAATCGTCTTGTGTAACATTTTTGCAATTTATTTGTGAAGATTTTGTAGGTGTAGACAATGGATTAAAATATTTAATTTGATAATCTACTAATGATTCGAATTCATCCGTCTTAGTGGTTTCGATTTGCTCAATGTTATTGCTAGGTGTTGTGCCATTTTTCATCAGGTTATAGTGGTATTCAATTCATCAGGTTCCGGTATAAAGTGGCATTCATTATCTTTATAAAGTGTCATTCGAATTGCGTTATCTTTATATTCTTCTTGTGGTGTGTGTTCTGCATCATTAGAAAGAGGCGCTGATTCATTTAACCGTATATGAAGAGAAACTGGGAGAGAAATGAAAGAGTTAACCCAGAGAGAGAAATTTTAGAGGGAGAATTTTTTTTTTTTTTTTTTTGGGGGGGGGGGGGGGGGGGTTTGTGATTGGACAAAGATGGAAGATATAATTTTGTACTTTCATAATAAAGATGGAAGATATAATTTTGTACTTTCATAATGGGCCTTAATAGGGTGTGTGAAAGTGATTTTTAAAAGAAGCTGTGCAGAAAACACTCATAATGTATACACACAGCGTATCACTTTTATCTCCTATTTGAAAAAGTGTAAAAAAGGGTCATATTCTTTTCACATTTTACGAAAACACCCCTCAATAAGAAATATGACATTAATTAGTGCTGTAATACCCGTTTTGTAAGAAATATGTTATTAATTAGTGTTGTAATATTCGTTTTGCTTTTTTATTCTTTAGAAAATATTCAAGGTGGTGTATATGCTACTAATATCATAGTATAGAAATATTTTCTGCACTTTGTTGATATATATACCATCATAAACTTCTCAAAAAAAAAAAAATAAATAAAAAATGCAATGATAATAAAATAACAAACAAACTTAGGACACGCCGCCACCAGGGCGGAGCCAGAAATTTTCAATTTTGGGAGGGGAAATAGCGATATAAAGTTAAATTTAATAAATAAATAAATAATTTTCCCTGTGCATTTTTAATGTACATTTTTTAGGACAAATCTATAAAAGATATGAGAAAATAAATAAAAAGAAGACTAGTTAACAATCCATTAATAAAGTTGTCATTGTTGAGTATTTTTATTTTTTTCTCTTGTCTCTCTCTTTAAGTCATAAGAAATATTTTATATAATTATATATACTAGGGAAAAGTACGTGTACGTGATTAAAAATCTATAGTGAATATTAAAGTATTAAAATTAAAAATCTATAGTGAATATTAAAGTACAAAAATTAAAAAAAAAAAAATTTAATGTTTTAATTTTACTGCAGTCAAAATGTCTTAGTTAATCTGTTTAAGTGATAATGAATAACTTGCTATTAAAAGTATATAGAAATTTTATTTTATACATATATTTTTTCTTTATTTTTTTAATATACACTTTTAATTACTTTAATAGTTACAACTCTTGATTTTTCTATTACTCTCAATTTTACCTCATTCATCATTCATAATCTAAACCAACATTACACCTATGGCCTTTTTTAAATTTAATTGTTGAAAATGAAATGATTATGAGAACAAAGGGCTAATTTCAGCTTTTACTTCCTACCATTATAGAATTTTTCTGCTAGTATGTCAAGCATCTAACATAATATACTACTCAATCATATTTTTGGCATTTCACATTATAGATATAACATAAATTATGGAAACTTGCTAGTATGTAATGGATTTCATAATCATGCCAATAAAAAATAATTAAATAAAACAATCTAGATGTATCTATATTTATATTCAAAAGTTATTCTTGGTCTTTTTTTTAACCAATTTTTGTTTCTAAAATTACCTCAATGAAAAAATAAAGGAAAAATAAAAATAAATTCTTACTTTTCTGTATTGAAGCACAATGACTATAGGAGCACAAGAAACACATTTTTCATGAATAAAACACTTCTACTATTGAAATTGGAATTGAGATTGTAATATTCCTGAAAAAAAAAAATGGAGAAACAACATATTTGTTCACACATTTTTTTTTGGCAAACCACACATCCATATCCTACATGTCCTTGGGACCAAAACCCTCAGCCTTCATTTGGGAAGGTTAGGTTATACCATTTGGGTTGGAATTCTTTTGGCATGCAGGGGAGATTAAAAGAGGAATGGAGAGCGTATTGAAAAGTTGCAAGAATTTGTCATCAAGGTTTTCATTTTTGTAGAAAAATAGATATTCTTATTATTATAAGAAAGTTCTTTTTATAACTTATACATATGAAAGACAACATAAAAATATAATTTTTAATTAATTAAATACAATAAAAACAACATAAAAAACAAAAAGAAAGAACTTGAGTTACTAAAATTTTGGTGACAAATTTTTGAAAGAAATATATCATTTTGAATAAAATAAACACATGCTATAATATAAAAACAACACTATGTATTGCATTTTCTTCTCCATTCTGAGACCTCGAATCCTTGGCTCCACCTTCCTCTATTCTTTGATTCCAAAGCTCCTGCTACCTTCCACTCTGTTTCCCACTCTGTTTCACAAACATTTCAATCCTTAAAAACCAAGATTAGAATACTACCCTTGAAAGATATTTAAAAAGAAAAGAAAAGAATATAACGTTTCAAATAAAATTATCATTTTGTAATAGCAATACTGAACATGTTAAACATATCATTTTATCTCGATCTGTGAAGTTTGTATTGCTTTCTTTCGCCTAGCCCCCGATCCTCTTGGCCATTTTTTTATTAAACAATCCACCATCTAGAGTTTGTTCAATACTTACTGTTCTTTAATACATATATATTAGAATCAGAGAGTTAGAGAGATGTACAAACGAAGAGTTGTAAAGGTTGAAATTATTGGGGAAACGGAAGTTTTTAAAACTTTATTAGGGATTTTCGAATAAAGATTTTCGAGACAAATTTTATGCATGAAGAACATGATGATTTTTCAATTAGAAATATAAAACTTACATCAATGTTTGAGTAAACCTTAGATTTTTCCTCTAATGTGAATATTCTCATTTATTGTAGATCTCTTTTCTAGATGCCTCCTCCTTGGATCTGCATCTTCTTAGTAATGATATTATCTTTAGGAATCATCAATAAGCCTTCATGAATGACCTTAGAGAGCTAAGCTTGATGGAGCCTTCATCATATGAGAATACTAACCCTAAAATTCTAGAGAGACAAAAACTTTTCTCATCTTTTAAAAATTATTGCACAAAAGCCTAACCTAAAATATACATGGACCCCATGTATATATAGGCAATATAAAAATAATAATTAAAGATATTATATTTTTCTCAATCTCTAAAAGTAACGTATCTCAAATCTAATGGGATTCCAATATCAAGTTGGGTTATGAGTAAGAATCATTTGGACTTATTATTTTCTTGGTTACAATGAATTAATAATTAGCCCAATCCATTATACCATAGACCTAATTCAATTAATTCATAAATTAATTTCTACTCCACTAAAAGAAATTAATTGAACTCCAATTAAATAATAAATAACCTCTAAGTTAATATTGCATTTTGACCCCTCTGCATAATTAGTTATCGAATAAATAAGGCCATCAATTCGACTACTAAATTAATATATTTATTTGGTACTTTTGATTATTTTTGGCTTGATCACAATAAAACATTTGTTTGATAAAAATAATTTTTTAAATAAATAAATATATAAAAAATTATTTTGTTTAAAAACACACGAGAACCTTCGAATTTACTTTGTGATCAATCATAATCAATACAAAATAAACACAAATAACAATGATGCAAATATTGAAATATAACCCTCTAACTATTAATTACATAATTACCCAAAGTGTCGGTCTATGGATTCTGAAGATTCTGCCGAACAAATCAAAGTAATTACTAATTAATAAAAGAGTCTATACTTCTCTCATGCTTAAGAGTCAAATGCCATGACAGTGATAGAGAGCAATTGCATATGACGGCTCTCGCAATATATTTCAATCTAACGCGGATCCAGTTTAATTCTTAGTTAATAATGAGTCCATTCATAATTATTGACTATGAACTATTTATAATTACTATTTATATGCATCTATTGATCGTCATCACATACATATATAAATATCTCTTGTAATCAAGTGCACACTATCAATTCCATAATGAATCGAAACATAATACATTAAATTCATCAATTATATAAATCATAAATATTTTAGATATGTCAGGAAGATATGTCACTTTAATCCAAATAAAAATTCGCTATGCAAGGGTATACAAATCCCAACAGAAATAAATACCAATGATACAAAAACAAAAGTTTAAAAAAAATAAAAAATGAAAATAATAATAATAATAATAATAATTGCTATTTAGGCTTACAACGCAACCATCATCTGTCATAAATACTTGGAGAAGCACAAGACCATGCAAGATAAGGTAAATGATTTATTCAATTGTTGCCGGCTTATCTTCATCGACTTCAAAAGCCTTCCTCACTTGTTTCAGCTCCTCATCCATAGATAACAGTTCAGAAGAGCGATTAAGCTTCGGCAAGTCCTTGCGGATTAAGAACAAAAAGTCCTCCGTTAGAAGCTTTCCCCTTTTTGATGAAATATGTTGAAATTTATGCATGTTAAATGCACCTATAACAGTGTTCAATTAACCTTCCGAAAAATTGGTTATTAGATGCTATTTAGATAAAAATCTTATTTCATTTTTGTCTGAAACCTTGGTGCAAATCAAAGCTATGCCCCTTCCATAAATATGGAATGAAAAAGAAAGGAAAAGTACAAAAAGCAAATTTTTATTTTTTAACAGTTAGGGGAATGGAAACTAATCGTCCTTTTGGTTCTCCTCGAAAACGGCCTTTTATGCACCATAAATGTGACATACTCCACAACAATGTCCTCCAAAAATGCCACA